GCTGACACCCCCCGTCCCTGGCGGTGGAGAGCGCCACGTGAACCAGAAACCTGGCGCCTCAGTTAGAGCCCTCATTGCACTTGCCCTGTCTCAGACACTGCGGAGACGCTCCGATCCCTGTGTGTGCTTCCCGCACAGCCTTCAGATGGTGCTTTAGCGAGTTTCTCCACAGTTTATGCAAAAGCACAGCACTAGGCATCTAGAGGTTTAAGCTTCAGACCTTGCTCTGCTCCTCATCTAGCTGTGACTTTGAGTGAAAAATTTGATAAATTTAATTTCATAAAAATTAAAAGCTTCTGTTAGAAGAATAAAAAGAAAAACCACAAGCTGGAAGAAAATATTCTTCAAACTTGTATTTGATAAAAGACTAGTATCCAAAATATATAAAGAACTCATACAACTCAATAATAAGACATGATTTTTTTTAAAAAGGGAGCATGTGCAAAATATTTGAAGTACTTCACCAAAGGTGAATGAGCACATGAAAAGATGCTCAAAATCATTAATCATCAGGGAAATGCACATGAAATATCATTGCACACCCATTAGAATAGGCAAAATTAAAAAGGCAATTACCGTACCCAGGTTGGCAAGAAGCAACTAGACCTGTCATACAGCACTCATAGGGTTGCAAAATGGTACAGACACTTCCAGAGACAGCTTGGCAGCTTCTTATAATGTTAAATATATATGTGCCTTATGACCCAGCAGTTCTCCTCTTAGAAAGGAAAGTATATGTCTACACAGAGACCTGTATCTGAATGTTCATAGCAGGTTTTTTGTTTGTTTTTTTAAGATTTTATTTTTTTTAATTGGGGAATTGGGGGAGGGGAACAGACAAGTTGGTGTCGTTTTGTTCTTCAGTCTAGTTGTGGAGGACGTTGCTTCACTGGCAATACACGTTGGTATTATCATTGNGTGCCTTTCACATTTCCTGCTTTGTCTCCCCACTGCTGCCACTCTAGTGTAGGCTGCCACTTATTCTATGCTAGCTTGTATTCTCTTTCACCTTACTCAGCCTTTCCTTGTTTTCAGGACATTGACATATTTGAAGAGTACAGACCAGGTATTTTGTGAAGTGTCGCTTAGTTCAAGTTTGTCTGATATTCCATCACGATTAGATCCAGGTCTCACTTTTGACAGGACAGCATGAGTAATGCTGGTTTCTCCTCAGTGCCTCATCCTAGGAGGCACTGGGGTCCTTACTGGTGACTTTACCTGTGATTGCATGTCTTCCAGGTTTCCCCAAAATAAAGTGACTATTTTACCCTTTGTAATAAGTGTCTATAGCGAGATCATTGAGGACATGTAAATATCATGTTATTCCTCACATTGCTCCATGAGTTAGAGTACCCATTGGTGACACTTGCCTGAATCCCTTATTATCATGATTGCCAAATGATGATCCTTATTTTAATATAACCATGGTTTGAACTTAACGAATGTATGAAATGTATTAAATATTTTGATACACTTTCATGTGTGGTTTATTGGACAGTCTTTATTTCAGCCGGGAGTTTTGAGTTATGATTATAACTTAGGACCTGACTATGTAGGTGTGTATATGTAAGATATATATACTCTGGCGTATACATGGAAAGTTTGAAATTAGAATGAGTAGATAATTCTGATAGTTTATAATGATAAAAATGTAAATAGCTTGGTTTTTTATGTTCTTTAACACAATGTGGATGATGAGTTAAGTTTTTATAATCTAGTTATCCTATGAATACAAGCAGAATGTTATGTAAGGGATATCTGATCAAGTGTAGCATGCCCAGTGATGCTAATTTAGGGTAGGAAACATCTCCAAAAAAGAATGTTAACAGGGCCGGCCGAGTAGCACGATGGTTAAGAACTGGCTTGGGATGCCAGAGGGCCCCGGTTCGGATCCCACATATGAGGGCCAGTGACACTGCCCTCTACAGCTAAGATGCTGAACAACAGCTCAACCTAGAGCTGGGTTGCCATGAGTCGCCGGCGACGAAGTAGGCTGCAGACCCTGTGGCAGTGGGTTGCCATGGGCTACCGTATGTAGCCAGCAGCCAGCGTGAGCGGCCGTCCAGAAGCCGGCGACTGATCTGCCTTGCCCGGGAAGAGCGCAATGATGGTGCCAACTTGGGCCAGTGAAGCAACGTCCTCCACAACTAGACTGAAGAACAAAACGACATCAACTTGTCTGTTCCCCTTCCCCCAATTCCCCAGCACTGTCCCCATTCCCCCAATTCCCCAATAAAAAAATCTTTAAAAAAAAAGAATGTTAACAACATTTTCCAGTGGGAGGTGGAGGGACTGGGAGCTTGCCGTAAAGTTTAGACCCCATAAGATAAACCTCTTTGTATTTTCAGTTCTAGCTCAGTGACATGCACTTAGAGGCTCTTGAAATGCTGTTGCTGATGATACCCTGTAATGATGGATGTCAGCAATGTCAGACTCTAACTCCCCTGATCCTTACAGGTGCAGCTTGCTGGGACAAGTTTACAGGCTGCCACTCAGTCTCTGAATGTACAGGTGAGCTGGGACATGGGGCTGGGAAGTGGTTTTTCTATTTATTTTTCCCATGTTTTTCTAATTTTTCTCTAATGGGCATGCAATAATTTTATAATTGGAAATACTTAGGAATATTGCCTTTTTTATTAATGATTCTCATGAAGATCCAAACAATGGTAATCATTGCCATTAATGAAGATGAGTTTTATATTATGCTGCTGTGACTGGTCAAAGGTGAACAAGGAAAGTCTGCTTTCCAAGTTTTCCGTGTAACTCCAGGAAAAAGGTTTCTAAGTTACACAGCTGTGACACATACCTAAACACAAAGCCAGAGTGTCTTAAATGCCCTTTTGTTTCCAAATGTCTTACTTCGCCTTTTCATGTCTTAGATAAGCGTGGCGGTGCAGAGGACCGAGCCTGGACTGAGCCAGGCCTTAGGTTTCAGTTGTCTTGTGAACTAACTAGCCATGTAACCTTTGGCGAGTCAGTTAACCTCCTGGGGCTCACGTGTTCCCACCTGTGTTTAAGGGGGAAGTTTACAGGATTGCCAGGGTTCCTCTCTGCTCTAACATGTTAGGACTCTAAGGATTGTAGTGAAACCTGTTTACAGATATCGATGGGCTTCAGAAAATCATAATTTTAAAACAAAACTTAAATCTGGCTCCATTGTTTCTATGAGCCATATGGCAAAACACGCCAAGTTCAAGTATCACGCGTGACTCCTTAATATTTCAGTCCACCTGCTGCTTCCTTTCATTAGCGTGTTTAGGTAACAGTCAAGAGGGAAAAACAGTGTACTGGAAGATTGATTGCAGAGTTGCTAATGACTAAAGACCTGGGTTGAGCATTCCATGAAACCCTGTGGAATATGGACCTAGTAACACATGGAAACAAGAAGATAAAAGAAAAGGAGATAATGTGACCTTCCTTTCTGAGGGAGAGGAGGCGGAAAATTGCCTTGGTTGCCATGGTAACTTTTCATCCCTTAGAGAGATGTTGGCAAACAGGCTGTATCCCCAGTGCAGAGTGTTGACAGTCCTGCCCTGTGATTACCTCTCACTGACTGGCAGAGTTAATCAGAGCCTTTATGTTAATTAGCCTTGCTGCAGTCCCCAAAACAGGTGGTGGGAAATATGCAAATCTATGCAGAATGTTAATGCTCTGCATAACCAGTGTTAATTACCATAAAATTTTCTCTCAGCGTGCCTTCCAGGAGTGAGTTCTCGGTCCCTCTTGACTGCAGCATTTTCCCTCTAAGCTTGTGTTGTACTTTCTGGGAGATGCTACATTTACAAGTTTTTAAAACATTAGATGAAACATCCTGTGGTCCAATAATCACTCTGAGAGGGTATGTAAGTTTCAGACCTATCAGAGTGCTGGGCTGGGTGGAGGCCCGAGGTGGAGAGGGATTGAATGTGTGCTCTTCCAGGACTCCAGACTCCCAGAGTTGAGGGTTAGGATTCATTCCGGTGGTTTGTGGAGTACCAAATTATTTTTTTCTTCTTAAAAATTATAATTGCAGCTTTGCTGGCATTGGAACAAAATATCCAAAAACTTAAATTGTAAAGTTAGGAAAATACAGAGATTTATAAGGAAAAGAGTGAAACCAGAAAACTCACAACTGAATAAGTTCATGTTTTAAATAATTATTGAAATATGGAGTTATAAGTACATTTCTTTTAATCAACTCTTTGAAATCTCTTTACACCCCTTCCCCCACACACCTCAGTCTAAGTCTAATGAAGAACCGGGGGATTTACAGCAGCCAAGCCAGCCTTCCCAGCAGCCTTCAGTGCAGGCAGCCATCCCCCAGACCCAGCTTATGCTGGCTGGAGGACAGATAACCGGGGTAAGTTTTTACTGAGAGAATTGTAATGAATTTTCTGTGTCCGAACTGCCATCGGCCAGTATCTGATTAAAACCCTGCTGTTGCCGACAGTCATGTGGCATGCCCGGCACTGTTACGTCTTTATGGAACTTTCCACACTGTAGGCAGCTCTGGAAAGGAATTGTCTGTGTCTTCAGTTTTCTGGGTGTCTTTTCTTACAGTTGCAGATGCTCTGGGTAAACTGAGAAGCTGTTTAAACCCACGTGTCAGCTGCTGCTTGGTCATGCAGTAGAGTCCTTACCCTGTGGCTAAGACCATGACACTGATGAGATCGTAGTTGTCAGTTTGGAGTTATGACGTCACTGCAGAGTACAGGTTAAAGAATGGATTGGTGCCTACAGAAGCAAAACATTTTAAGTGACTGTGTCATGTTCTAAAATGAAACCTCTGTTCTCATATCCTGACTCTGCCGCTTACTGTCTGGGTTAGTTCATCTCCCTGGGTCCCTTAATTTCCATGGAGATGTTAGCAATGCCTGTGCCACAGTGGTGTGATAAAGATTCCCAGTACTCATGTATGTGAAACTCACAGAACGGTGCTTGGCACGCAGCAGTCTATAAATGTCATTTATTTTCATTGGTAATAAATTGGCCTATGTGAATATATTGAGCTTTTAACTTTTCAGCTGTTAAAAGTTAAATTTTTTCACTTTTTTGCTCTAAGACCCATTCAAAATATTTTCCCAATGCTGAAAATTTGTCTAGTAAATTATCTTTTGGGGGAAGGTTGGGGAGTGATAAGAGTTATTTATTAATTAATTAACATCATATCAACCCACAACCTTTTTTATAGCCCTCATTTCAGTTGAGTATGTTTTAGCAGTGGAATGCTCATTTAAGAATTATTGCAAAATTGTTTACAAAATCCCATTAGCAGAGATTAATATATGTTTACATATTTATAAAAGATTTATAAACATATCTGAAGGGTATTGTTTTTGAATGGTTAGATTTTGATTCTTACGCCTCTTAAGACACAAGTTGTATTCGACCCTTTAGACGGAGAGCGTGCCGCTCACTGAGTGTCCTTGCACTTCAGAATATTACAGGGTTCCTTGTTGTTTGTTCAGAACATGTCACCAAAAGGAAGGTAGAATGCACTTATTACTTTAAGTGTGTTT